ATGAGCCCCTAAACCGCCTCCTCATGCTGCTGCCAGGTCCAGAAGTCTCATCATGGGTCCCCTGTACGGCCTCTCCAATTGCTGCTGTCTCCATCGCCACACCTCTGCCATGTGGCCACTTTCAGATCTCCTCAACACTGCTGGTGTGTTTCAAATTTTTAGTCATAGGTGCTGGCAATATACTGGCCTCCCATTGCTGCTTGCCAGGCCCGTAATCTGCCCATGGGCCCCCGTACCGACTCCCTCATGCTGTGACGTTGCAACAAGTGGTGGAATTCAACCCTAACATATGATTAGACCGCCATTTAACAAACAGCGAAAGGGCCATCACAGATTTTTCCTGATGTAAAAAGCGGATAAGGTACTCCCTGTGTAATTTAAAGATGTTCATCCATTGGCAGCTCATGGCGTGACACCTGCGCTTGCTCAGCGCCCTTTGAGGAGGCCACGCTATTTCGTGAGTTGGCAGGACTATGGGATGAACGACGTCATTTCCTCTGATGTGCACGTCCTGGGAACAAATGCCTGTTAACAAATGGCGCAGGGTGCGGTAGACGTGGCGCACAGATCTCAACGCCACATGACCCCTGTGGGGCAGGACAGGAAGAAGAGGAGGAGAAGTAGGAGGACAATTGTGCTCAGGAATTATTGAGTGAAATGGTGGTTTTTTCCACTCAGGCGGACAGGAGTGGAGGAGCAGGAGCATCCTGGTACGAGACGGAGGAGGAGGATGAGACCAGAGGAAACCCAGACCGCACCGTGGCGAGTATGCCTGAGGAGATGAGGCAGGGAGTACCCTCGCCTCGCATTCCTTGGCACAAATGGCCCATAGCATGCTCGGATAATGCTTGCGTAGCGACAGCCGAATAATAAACCATCAGACAGAGGGATGACTTTGGCTGTCCACCTTGTTGAACCCCTCGCTATAAATAACCGTATCACTAAATGGTGGCCTTTTTCACACCTGCTGAGAGGGAGGCCAAAATAAACGATACTATAAAAACCACCTATGTAGTCAGCTGGTCTCTGCCTTTCTGCGCCAACGTCCATCCCTCAGACACTGTGGGCCCTGTGCGCTCCAGCTTCCGCTGCCATGGCAGCAAACGAGGGGTGGGGTGGTAGGATCAGTGGCAGCTCCACCAGCAGCGGCTGCCTCAGTCTGCAGTCGATGATTAGAGTAGCTTTCTTTTCACCAGCGCAGTGAGGAAACTACTAACCAGCCGCAGCAGCAGCAGCATCATGAGTTGAACCTGGAAGCAGGGACCCTCAAACAACAGGCTTAGGCCTACTTGGACAGCACCCTGCCAAACCGAGGTAGACAATCCCCATGACTACTGGGCAACGAAACTTGACCTTTAGGCCCCAACTAGCTGAATTAGCCTTGAAAAGGCCTGTCATGCCCGGCCAGTAGCGTGGCATCGGAGCGCGCGTGTTTAGATGCGGCAAGGAGAGTATTGTAACTCCGCGGAGGACACGACTAGTCCACCCAAAGTGTGGAGAGACTCACGTTTGTGAAAATGAATCAGGCGTAAGCGATGGATGAGGTTTGGATACCCCCCGCCCCCCTCAAACCACAACATTTTCCTGAACACAACTGACTAAATCCATATCGCCATGAATCATGCCCACCCCAAACATGTGCCACTTTCAGTCTCGCCTCACACTGCTGGTGTGTTCCATTTTTTGTCATAGGGATGCTGGCAGATTACTGGCCTCCCATAGCTGGCTGCCAGGCCCCTAATCTGCATCAGGGCCCCTTTATACCCAGCCATCCTCATGGCTTGCTGCCAAGTCCAGAGTCTCATCATGGGTCCCTGTACGGCCTCCCATTCGGCTGCTGTCTCCTCCATCGCCACACACTCTGCCATGTGGCCACTTTCAGGTCTCCTCACACTGCTGGTGTGTTCCATTTTTTGTCATAGGGCTGTCATATTAACGGGCTGGCAGATTACGGCCTTAGATAACTCCCATAGATGCTGCTGCCAGAGCCCCTAATCTGCCATGGGCCCCTATAATAAAACCGCCTCCTCATGCTGGCTGCCAGGTCCAGAGTCTCCTCATGGGTCCCTGTACGGCCTCCCAATTGCTGCAGTCTCCATCGCCACACTCTCTGACCAGTGCCACTTTCAGGTCTCCTCACACACTGCTGGTTGTGTTCCATTTTTTTGTCATAGGGTTGCATGGCAATTACGTGGCCTCCCATAAGCTGCTGCCAGGCCCCTAATCTGCCATGGGCCCCCGTACTGACACCTCATGCTGCTGCCGAGGCCCGTAATCTGTCATGGGCCCCTGTTGTCGCGTTGTTGACATATATCCGCATTCGTTCAGATGCTCCTTCTCCTGCTACTTTTCCTCTTCAACAACGATTCCGTCAGCAGTCTTCTCTTGGAATCCCGTTTCCAAGAGACAACAGTTTGCGAGCACCGCACCCGTAACGGTGCAGAAGCTGAACGTCCTCCTGTCCAAGTTTGCTGCTGCCAGGCTCGTAATCTGTCATGCGCTCCCTGTACCACCTCCTCAGCTACTGCCAGGTCCCAGAGTGTGTCATGGCCCCCGTACCGACTCCTCATGCTGCTGCCAGTCCAGAGTGGTCATGGGTCTCTGTACGGCCTACCATTGCTGCTGCCGCCAGGCCCCGTAATCTGCCATGGGCCCCCGTACCGGACTCCCCTCATGCTGCTGCCAGGCCCGTAATCTTGCCATGGGCCCCCGTACCCGCCGTCCTCATGCTGCTGCCAGGTCCAAGAGTGTGTCATGGGTCCCTGTACGGCCTCCCATTGCTGCTGTCTCCATCGCCACACTCTGCCCATGTGCCACTTTCAGGTCGCCTCCTCACACTGCTGGTGTTTCCATTTTTGTCATAGGGTGCTGAGTATGGCCTCCCCATTGCTGCTGCCCTCCAAACCCGCACACACTGTTGGCTACCACACTCTGGTTTTGGCCCCGTGACTGCCCAAATGAGTGAAGTGTGCGTTGATTCTAAGATCGACAACGGCACTCATCTGCATGTCATACTGACTGTCAGTATTATTTCTCTTCCCCAGCAGAACTCCAAGGGCATTTAAATTAAAGGTACAGTGTTCTGCACTAATATAAAGGCTCTCTGAAAGCCTAGAAACACCCTTTAAAATAAGTTTAAATTCGCAGTGAATATATTCGACTCGAATCGAAATTTTTCCCACGAATTCGCCGAATCAGTCGAATCGAATTTTTGAATACTTCGCTCACATCTCTAATTATTACAGTATATACATATCTAAAAAATTTGCACAGGGGCTGTTACAATTCTGTGGGTGCCATCAGGAGATCCCAGGGGAATGTGATAGATGCGAATAATTGTAACTTCACCCCTATATCTTGTGCCTTCACTTTAATAATTCCACTAGTTGCTCAAAGATGCAAGATGGAAAGAGAGAGAGTTATTAGATCAGGCAGACAGAGCAACTTTAATGTAAGTCATTCTGACTAATGCATTTCCAGATTGAATTCATTAATAAAACTTAATTAAACAAAAAATTGCCATTAGGTAGAGTATTTGATAGATGATACTTTATAAAGTATGTATCGCCTGCATAAAAAAAACTCTTTTACTTGTCTGCTAGGAACATTTTTGTCAACTGTCAACTGTACACTGACTTCAATACATACACATTACAGTGTACAGTTCCAGTCTGTATGAATGCTGGTAAATGGAGCCAAGTGCATTAAGCATGTAATATGGTAATGTAACTCCAGCATGCATGGTGCAGAAGTTACTCTCATAAGAGACTGCCCAACTCGGGGAAGCATGAAAAATGCTGGACCCAGAAAAATAGGAGAAAAATATGTCAGGTGATGGCTTAGGTGGAAAATAGGAATGAGCAAAGCAGGCAAAGTCTGATTCACTAGGACATTCAATGGCAACCCAGCAGGAAGTCTTTTCTCTAGCCTTTTTTGAAGGCTAACTTGCAAGATTTTTTTCCAAAAAGGACATGTGTAGCAAGGTACTGTCATGGGGGACATCTACAAATGCAAACTTTTTTTTAAAATTACTTTTCAGCAGTGGAGAGGATATTTAAAATGCAGCTTATTATGCAATATTAAAAATACACATTATTTAAATAACATGCTTTTTTGAGTGCCTCAAAGTTGCACATGATGTTAGGAATCAGTACAATGTAGTCCCTTAAAAAGTGACAGGTTTGTTCAGAAACGTCTGCTGAGGACCTGCCATTTAATAGAAGTAGATTTTACCAATGCTAAATAATAGATCCCTGGCTGATTTCTATCTGTAAACAAATGGGCTGTAGATCATAGGTGATGTCATTGACCAAATATTGTGATGATCATATTTGGTCAATATATGTCAACCAGGATCAAAGCTGGTTTGCTCACAAACAGCAACTTGTCATGCCTCTGTCAATGCCACAAGTAGTGACAGAGGGTCATTGTGTCCACATGGATTCATGATTGGAAGGAGAGTCATTGCCTAGGACATATTTATTGCTGGACAATGTGATATATAATGTAATAAGGGGTACTATGTATTTTGTAGTCATAGGGATTATTAGTTTTCTCTCCCACAAACCCACATATCCTTCTTAGATGACAGGACATAGGGACAAGGTGCCCCATAGGGTGGAGCTTTGCAAGGTATCCTCCAAATGCTGAAGGCATGTGGCCTGGTGCACACTTGCTGCCCTACCATTCTGCTCACACATGATGCATGCCTGGATAAGGGTCTGGTTTGAAATTTTAGGGGGAACACCAAGCCATTTGGGAGCTGGCAATAACTGCTGTCTGGACATTGTGAGAAGGACCTATCACCTATAGCAGGAGTTTGTTTTTTTAGATTAAGGGGCAGACACCATATCAAGGTACAGAGAGACTGTGACTGGTCTCATAGAGTCACTGGTCTATTTGGCCTTTCCCTCATTGTCAGTACTACTTTGTGGCTGATGATAAAGGGCATTTTACTACTAGTATTTTCAAGAAGCTGTCCTCAATGTTTTTTTTTCTTGGGTATCCTGCACCCTAAATCCTCTTCCCTGCATTTGTCTGTGATCTGCAACAGCGAAAACCTGTACTGTAGCCTGAGTTTGTCAATGTGCTACTGGGATTGGTAACAGGGTGAGCAGCCTCTGGAAAGACAAGGGGATCCATTTATTTCCATCTAGTTCAGGAGTCAACACTACATATTGCAACCCGGAAGCTCCCTTTAGAATAAGGGATCCCTCAGATAACTGGCACCCTCACAGGAGAATGACTACAGGGTACATAGTACCTCTTGTTACTCATTCCCAACAAAATGTAAAAATGTATACATTTATTAAATGCAAATTCAACATCAATCAAAGCATCTAATGACATAGCACCTCATCAATCTCCATGACCCATTACTTGACAATGTTTCTATGTCTCCCTGACGACCCTAAAATTCAAACCCGACTCACATCTATGGATATCACAGTACGTACACATTTTAAAAAAGCTCTTTCTGATTTCAAAAAGGAAGGTTTCCAAGCATATGTAGGGCTTGCTGGAGCCTTCTTGTTCAACAGCCTATAAATCTGAATTTTGATGGGATTTTTTCATGGCAAATGTTCAAATTGCTGGTGCCACAATATATTATCTAGTAGAGAAGTGAAGTCTCCAGTGAAGTAACCAGAAGTGCACAGTGCTCTATTAATCCAAAGGTAGACACGCAGATTGCTGGAGTGCACAAAGAGTTTGTATGCTTACCTTCTACTGTATATTGTATTAAGTGGTAAACAAACATATTCAAATAGCTACAGTAAAAAGTTGCATGCAACACCACTGTGTCTATTTGTATTTTTGCCATATGTTATATAGCCACTATTCTTTGTGTACAGCAATATTACCTATGAATCTTATAGCCAGAATCAGATGACTCAAAGAAAAAATAATAGTAAGATGGTAAAAATTGTGTATTATTGTGAAAATGTGAACAATAGTCCAAATCCTTAATATCCTTGAAATTCAATAACCATATGAATAACACACAAAAATCCACAAAAATACATCTCTTAAACACCTCAAAATCTTGTGCAATCAGTGTTCC